ATTTTTAATGACAAAATTTTATGAAGCCCTTTAAAGCACATCATAATTTTTCTTTTGATCCAATTTTAAGACATGACTTTCAAAAACATACACTGTTCATTAATAAATTTAGAAATACTTATAAAAAAGGGAAAAACTAGCTGAAGCTGAAGATTCAATATTCAAATTGTCATTGGGTAGACTCGAAGTAAATGAAGTAAAAAACTAGCAGAATATTTTGGAATGGAAAATCACCAGAATATAACATTTGATGACTGGGAAGTATTCTCAAAGCCACTACATTGTTCATTTTCCCACAGCAGTGCTGCACCACCTCCCTCATGCCAAGCTGGAAAGAAATGGAAAGCAAAATCTCCCCCCTGCCAACTACCCATCAATAACTCCCCTTTCACTGTCTGGTATCCATCTCTAAGGTCAGAATCAGGGTCCAGGAAAGGTATCACCTGAGTGGCATCTTTCCCTTCTTATTTGTCATATTCTCTTTATTGGCCTCCATCTTAGCTGCTTTTCTCTCCTTGCTGAGACAAAAATACCTGGCACCCAAAGTTAGAGGGGAAAGATTTATTTAGTGCACAATTTATAGAGGTTTCAGTCCATAATCGGCTGGCTCCAAGGCAGGGTGGCAGAAGGGCAACAGGTCATGGGAATGAAAGCAGCAGAAGCAAGGGACCTTGGGAGGCCAGGAGAATCAGGAAAAAATAAGAGCCAAGATGGATCATGTAGAAGTGCAAATTTCCAATGACGAATGTCATTACATTGTATACCTTAAATGTACCAATAAAATTAATTATTATTGTTTTGAATCTCTTGAAGAGAAACAAGTGAATTTAACAGCATCTTTTTGCCCCTTTTATCTTATTCAGACTATTTAGGGTGAGTAGAACTCACACCCTTAATCCTAGTGCCCTCCAGCCTAGCCCTACCAGGAATCACACACTGAATTCAGCTACCTCTGAGAAAGCATGAGGCTTTGGGGAGACATCCAATCATGAGCCATAACAGCCTCTGACACAAAACTAGGCAATCAAGGAGGGAGAAGAGCCAGCAGATTTAAGGGAGTGGTACAGGGAACAAAGCAGAGCTTTTTATTACCGAAAACTCTATTTAATATGTGCCTTTAATATGTCTCTGTGCACCCTGGTGACTAGCAGTCATCTCTCTTGTTATGATTGCCTTCATCAGTATAAATGGTTGTAATCATATTGCAAGCCCAGTTGAAGAATGTTGACTCTTAACAGTTGAAATTGGAATCTGGAATTGGAAAGATCTTAGTTTCAGTTTCATTATGCAATCTTTTCACATACTCTCTGTGGACATCGGAAAGCAAGTAGTGATTGTGCACATCTGAATTGAAATCTATAACTGAGGATGACTGTGCTCATTTCAGAATCATTGTGAGACTGCAGATGCTTAGCATAGGGCCTGATACCCTAGGCTGATACCCTATTATCACAATCACCTCTTTAGAACACCACTCAGTGGAGCAGAGGGCCTGGATCTGGTGGCAGAGGGGGCAACCGGTGAGCCTCGGTTCCTTTCACTCACCTCTGTTCAGCTAAGATCTCTCTCCTCATCTGAAGTCATTGTCCTGATTCTTCAAAAAAATGAAAACTAAGAAGTTCCACTTGATACAGCCATTCCCCTTCTAGGTAGTTCACCAAAAGAGTTAAAGACATCATATTACAGTGGTGCATGAATATCCAAATTTATAGCAGCTCAATTTATCATGGCTAAATCATGGAAGCAGCCTATGGGGCTACCAACAGGTTAATGGAGAAAGAAAATGTGGTATTCATACAAAATGAAATTCTTCCATAAAGAAAGATAAAGTTGGGTCATTTGTAGGAAAATGGATGCAACTGGAGACCACAGTGTTAAGCGAAACAAATCAGACAAACAGACTTAAATATCACATGGTTTCTCTTGTATGAGAAACCCAAAATATAAAGGGCAAAAGATCTTTCTCAAGAGGAAAAGGGAGCAAGACATGAAGAAGGTAAGAGCAGGGGACGGGAAAGGGGGTGAAAAAGGCATTAAGAGGTGTGATGTACACATACCAACTACATACCCCTCAGGGAATATCAACATTATGCACTGAAATTGTGTGCTCATAAATAAAAAAATAAATAAAGCTTTTCCTCCTTCCCGACCATTATCTATAAAGCTAGTGTAGACTTTTAATCATGGTACAAATAAGGCTTAACGGAACTATGAACTTTTGTCTTTTTCACTATGTAAATTATCTGTAACTAAGGTATTGGATTGTTTCAGTTAGTGCACAGGAAAGCCCTGTTACCTTTTTTAAAAAGTATCTAATATAATGATAAGCTATTTACTGGAGTAATTTTAGCCTCTCCATGATTTCCATATGGAAGAGTTCTTTGCAGAGATGAGAGATAGCTGAGTGAACAGCTATCAGTAGAACTGCAACCTAGAAATATTACTGTGATGGTTTATTAGCCTAGGGGATCAGTAAAGCACACTTGTGGGTGTTCCTGGTGGGTCTTGAAGATGTGACCTCCAGGACGACATCTAGTCCCTGGCTCCTTCCTCTTGTCCATGCTGGGACTACTAAGTGAGCAGCTTTTCCATCATTATGTTCCTGCCTTGAAGTCAGGCTACCATGGACTGAAACCTCTGAAGCCATGAGCCAATAAACCGTTTCCTCCACCCTTTTAAATTCTGAGTGACAGGTATTTTGTCCCAGCAATGGAAAGCTGACCAATATAATTATAGCTGCAAACAATATCATTGAAATGATCCTAGAATATTACTGCCTGATACCTCCAGGAACTTACCTCATTAAACTATATCATTCTTTTTTTTTTTTAAGAAAAGTGCAAAAGAAAAAATTCAATCACACTTTAATTGATTTAAAGAGCAACAAAATGTCAACTTTCAATCATTTCTCTTATGAAAGCAGCCTCTGACATTTGGTCCTGGCTTTGAATTTGTATCAGGTGAGTGATTGTTTGACTCGGTTTCCCCTTCTGTAAGATAAGTGCTTTGCTACCTCATACTATTGTTAAATATAGTACTTCATGTATAAAGAACTTACCGATTTCCTGGTGTAAAGTTAGCACCCAATAAATGCCAGGTTTTTACATTGAAACAGGAAATTTTGCTGTGAGAACCTAGAGTCATGCGGTCGGTGGCCATCGCAGGTCCCACAGCCGATTGGCAGAGCCAAAACCAAGCCATCAATCTATGATAAAGACTTTCCCAGTGCATCCAGCTTCCTGCTTTTCATATCTGCATACCTTCTGGAAGCACTTTGTGGAAAACAAAGACACCTATAGCTCGTTGTCTCTGGCAGGATTCTTAGACGTTTGCTGGAAATAATGAGAAAACCGTGAGCTATGCCACTCGAAGCAGTTTGTACACCCGCTGTCTGCCCAACTTACTGCACTTACTCCCTCCTCAAGTTTCTGGGCATCTGTGCCGACACACATGGAGAAGGGAACGAGATGCTATGGTTCTTGCAGTGTTTTTAGGGTGAATAGGATATTCAGCGTCACTGAGCGCCCCGCGTCCTCCCTCGGCCTCACCTCCCTCCCTCGGCGCCGTGCTCCTCCTCAGCTGGAGCAGGAACCTCCCGGCTGTGGCTTCCAGCGCTGGGCGGGGGCGGGCGCTGAGAGAAGCCGGGAGGCCGGGAGGCTGGAGGCGGTGGAGGCGCAGCCGCGAGGCAGCGAGTGCTGGCTCGGAGCTCATCTGTGAGCAGCTTCTCTCTGGACTGGTATAGCCAGAGCTCACGTGTGGACCAGGAGAAGCGGAGGAAGCCTCCCTCCCCAGGTACCGCGCTGGTGTGCCTGGATCTGCAGGTGAGTCGCGTGCCCCTCCTCCCCACCTGCCTAGTGTCCAACAGGTTGGCCGGGGCACGGGTCCAGGGGTTCCCGCGGGCAGCTTCTCGCCTCACTGGGGCACCATTTCTCTCTCAGGCTCTCTCTTCTATTATTTAAACTCCTGCTCCAGCCCACGCCTGTTCTAATCTTTTTCTTTGGTTTCCCCCTTTCCTAAAATGAGAGCTCCGCTGCGTGCTGGAGAACGCGCTCAGAGCACCCGCGCCCCGGGAAACTTAGGACAGGCGCAGAGCGTCTCCACGGGCGACGACGCCCACGGGCGTGGGAGCCAGGACAGTGACCCGAGTCCCGCGCTGGGTGTGGAGTCAGCAGTCAGCACTCATTGGCCTGATTTCTCCCGAAGGAGGTCAGCGCCTGGGGGCGGGGTGGGAGGGGTGCAGCGCGACTGAGATCGGAGCGGAAAGAGAGAGAAACGGGAGGAAACTGTGTCCCCCCACGTGTGCACGCCCCGGCGAACACCCTGGGACTCAAGTTAGCCAGGACTCGGACCTGTTCCCATCTCCTGGCTTCCGGAACTTTAGATTTGGGTCTCCCGGCGCCAGAAGCGAGTCTCGCCATCCTCTCTGCAATCCTCCTCCTCCTGCCCTCCGGATCTCCCTCTCCGGTCCCTCCCAGCCCCTCCACCACCGACCCGCCGGGCTCTAAAATCC